CCCCCAGTGCATTATTTCTGCAGCTCCAAAAATAGATCACTACAAAATTGTTGCAGAAGCTTGATAAGTGCCAGGCCTGCCAGATGCAGTAAGGCTAATTTCAAAGTGTCCTTTCCCACACACTGTACCTTAATCAAATAATGAGTGCCTTTGATCACTTCCTGTGAGGATTCCCACATCCATGTAAGCATGCAGTTGCTTAAGTATGCACCTTGGATTTTTGAGGGCTTCCACCTCAAGCCTACATACACAGGTGTTTTAATAGCTAGATCAGAGTAAAAATAAACATGAAGAGGCATAGAAAGGAATACTGGCCAGAAAACATTCAGAGTCTAATGAGAAATTTTATATCCATCCACCCCAAGGGTCTTTTAAACTCAGCAGAGCCCAGGAGCATCATTCACTGTATTAGTAACCATCATGTACCTTATATAAAATAATAATAATTAAAAAAAAAATGGTTGTGCTAACAAGTGCACTTTACTGCACTGCAGGATGTAGAAAAGGTACCACACCTAGAAAGCCCAGGGAAGAGAAGCATCATGCAAAAGTTACTCCATTTGGTAGCAGCACTTGGAAACATAATGCTCCTTTCTGAGTGAAAAAGCTTCCCCCTCCCTCCTGGTATCCTTCAGAAACTGCTGGGCCAAGAGGGTTTGGGATTTTCCCACTCTGGAGCCATTTCCCATGGCTGGAGCAGTTTGCCCTGACATGCAGATGTTGGTAATGCAGCAGTGGTCCAGCACCAGCCTCCACAGGCAGCCTTGCCTTGCTTTGCCGAATTTCCAACACTCGGTTCACATTTCCCAGGACCCAGAAACCGAGTGACCACCAATCCCATCCACCAAAGCAAACACATGAATAGCTGTGAATCCCAAACAAAGGTACTCCTGCCCTTCCTAAGGACCAACCTTTGCTAATTAAGAACAGGAGCATTTCATCAGAACTTGAAACCTGACTGCATCGTTTGGCAACATATTCAAGTCTGCTTATGCCACTTCATCCTCATTTGTAATCTGAAAACCAGATCTGCATGACCACAACTTTACCTCTTCCACCACTGAAACAACTCCCAGCATATGCCTTTTCTCCTGGGCTCTTTTGTTTTTCTAAGGCACTTGCATGAACAAGCACACAGGTCCATTTATTTATACAGAAATCAAATCAGCATCACAAACAGGCTTGTGAGCAGTAAGAAAAATGTGATACCTGCTAATGAGGGGACACATTGTACTATCCAATGGTTGGGTTTCTTTCTTTTTTTTTTTTTTTCTTTTCAAAAAACAAAAAATTTCTACAGCTTAGTGTGTTATGGTGGGTTACAGCAGGGATTTTTTTGGTATGTTTTACAGAATTTACCACTAAAAAGAAACCAAGGAAGGCAAACGGCCACAAGTTTTGTCGCTCATTTACATGAAGCAGCAGATACACTGAAGAACATTCTGCTATTAATACAGAGCAAATCAAATTTTTCTAGTATTTAGGTCAGTGTGTTTTATCCCTTTGATTCTGGAAACGAGTAAACTAATTTAAAATTAAAAAAAAAAAAAAGAGAAAGTGTTTACAAATTAAGAGAAAACTGCAGAAGTTAGAATATACATGACTTCATGCAATGATGCTAGGCTTCCTCCCTAGAAACACAGAAGATTTTAAAAGTCATCCTTTGTCAAAATAAGCTCTTCCACACTATTGACAAAAAAAAAAAAAAAAAAAAAAAAAAAAACAAACCACAACAAAAAAGACACATTTAATATACTGCTAAGGTTTTAATAGGTGATCAGGAAGGTGCTGACTCAGTTTCTTCTCCAGCTACTCTTCAACAAACCTTGCTCTTGTTCACTGTGCAGGAGAGTTCTCATCCCAGCAAGAGGAGTTTGCTTGGCACCACGAATGCAGATCACTTTGTGCAGTTTTTGCTGAGGTTAAATAAACCCATGATGTCAACCATTGCCTTCTGGATGTTCTGTCCAAAGCGATGAGAATCCTTCAAAAACAAAAAAAAATCCGACAAAACCAAATAATTGTAACTGTCCATCAACTGTTATTTTTTCAGGCAAAAGAAGAAACTTTCTAATATTTTGTAGTTTTGGAGCTTATGGAATTCAGGCATGTGTTTTACCATACAATGGGGATTTTAACAACAGAAATTTCAACACTCTACAGATTAATCCAGGTTTATGCTATTACTGACCAACGAGTTCTTCATCATGCACTTACTTTCCTACAGTCAGAAATGAGATCATATCCTTTTGAAATCAGGTGCATGCACAGCTTTCTGCTACTTTAAAATTGCTGGGGTTTGATACTGCTTTTCCTACAAGATTTTGCAAAAGCTCATTTTTAGAAAAATTTTTAGAAAATGTTCAGTGAGTGTATGACTAATGACCAAGAAGTACTGAAAAAGCAGAAAAATTAATTCTTTTTATTTGAGTCCCTATCAGAAATGACGAATAATTTGCCATTGAAAAAAGTATTGAAAATGAAAATAACAACTTTCTAAGTGTAAACAAAACAGGAACTTGTTCTGTTTATTCTAAGTGCTAGATGAATGGTACAAGAAAGAAATTAAGATCACAAATGTAAATTATTAGCTACATTACAGGATCTGCTACAATGACCCTACTAATATCAAGGCTGCACACATAAAATTCTGCCTTTTCTGTATGGACCTTTGACTTTACTAATAAGTAAAAAGAACAGAGCGAAATTTAAACTACAAGCTAACAGGCATCTGAAGAACAATTTCAACTATGATAAAAACAAAGCTGTATTTCCTAATCTTTAATGATTAACCAGAAGCACCATGATCTCCTGGACAAGTGAAGGTCAAAAGAGGAAAACTAGGTCAGCTATGTTACCCTGAATGAACTCAAGCATATTTAATAATGCTATAAAAATATAAAGGGGAAGGATGAATTGAACTCAAAGCAGGCCTCCACAACAGCAGGCTATTCAACATATGACATCTACTATACTCTAATAATGGGTGTTATTTGAATAAATTTTTGATTAGTTATGTTTCATAAGCACAGATTATAATTTCTGGTTCAGCTTCGTTCAGTATAATTTACACCAGGAAGGCTTAAATAGAGAGCTTACATTTTACTCAACTGCAACCTGAGACAAATCAATCAAAACTGTAATAAGAAAAATCCATATCTGCCCATCTTTCTCTTTAGGGAACACATGTGACCCTTGCACATGAGTTGCAGGGAACTACATGTGTAAAGATGATCCTGGGCCACGGGTTTCCTTTATGCTTGAAAGTTCAAGTGAAATAGAACATGGTTCCTTGGTTCATGGAACTGTTGAATTTATACAACTGGAGACAAAAAACTCCAGCAAAACAGCACATATTGAGAAAGGAAAAACACATTATAACAGTATGTTGCAAGTTCTACTGTGTATTTTAGACAATGAGTAGAACAGTTCTACAAGCACACAGCAGAACAGATTTATCAAACCACAGGAAAGGACTGACTCTTACCGTCTCAGAACAAGATATTTTGCTGGAGACATGGAAATGGATGGAATTTTCATCCAAGATAATGTAAGAAACACCATAACCATCATCAGCCACCTAGAGGAAGAAAGAAGAGAAAAAACACATTTTAACCATTTCTTTCTTCTTCATTCTCAATCAACTTATGCACAAGTTACTACAGTTTTAAAAATCAGTTGCAATTTCCTCAAGTAAAACTCCAACTTCTAATTTTAATGCAAAATTTCTGAGGATTGGCTCCACTTAAGGAATAGTTCTAGTCTCTTCTGAAATGCATGGAATAACCATTTCCTGAATATTTGCCTGTAATATTTCCCAGCTTTAATGGAGCTTCAGTGCTTAAGCAGCAAGGAATAAAATAGTTCAGTTGCACACCTAAACAATCTATCAGTCTCCTGGGATCATTCTGCAGATGTAAACAAACACAGTGTAAAAGCCTTGCATCATGAAAACTTGCCAAATGCAAGTTTTCTTCTGGCTCTAAGCAAACATGTGGTTCTGAACACCTGTATCACAAATAGACATCTGGTCCAATTTTAACATTAGGAGCATTAACTGTCCCGAGTTTCAGTTTGATGTTATATTCCAGCTATGCCTGGTAAACACAGATTATCCTGATGTCACCCCTCTTCGTGTATTTCCTAACTCAAAGGATCACAGCCTTCCATCCCTCTGCAGCCACTGCTGCTAAGCAGTCTGACATTCTTCTCACTCTTCTCACTGTTAGTGCTACAGAGATAAACTCCATGTCATGCTTAAAAAAACCCTTCAAAACCAACAAAAAACACATGCATGGAAAGCTGATGTAGTGAATCTCTGAGCTACTTCAGCAAACCAAAGCACAGACTTTTGTAAACAAAAACAAAAGGAAGAGTTTTAGAAATTTCTGCAGCCAAAACCCTTCTCTATTGCCTTTTGGGCACTTGGAATAGTGGCTTCATGATCTGCTTGAGGAAGCCAGTTCCTCAACAATGAGCAGTATGGCCATAGCTAGGCCTCCCTGATACTGCAGATCAAATTAATTCCAACTTCAAAAACTACTGAAAGCTGCAGCAGAAACACGAGTAAATAAAAAACAGTTTAACACATCCCCTCCTTCCTGCTTGACAAACCAGCCAAAATACTGGTCACCCTAATTTCTGTGGGGCAAAGAGCAGTCCTGTGACACCTCCTTCAATAGAAATGCTTTTTGAAAACAGATTAATCTAGTATAATACCCCCATAAAGGCTGATTAAGAGGTCTTGTTGACACCAATATTCTCATCAATGGCCAAACTCAAATACCAATAAAATACCACTGCAAACAAGCAGCTTGTCAAATCTCTAACAATACACTGGTTTATTGAAAGTCTGCAGAAGCCATAGAACATGGCTGTATTCTTCACTTGCCATTACTCACACTTAGCAGGGCAAGCAGAACAATGTGAGCAGCTTGATCTGGAGGAATGTATGAACACGTTTATTAATCAAGCAGGAAATATAAAGAATAAGTCAAGCATAAGTAGTACTTTTACAAATCCCAAACTTAAAAGGTAGTTTAGGTAATAAGGCATTTGTCACTGTAATAACAGCCTGAGGTACAGAAGATCTGGGCACAGGCAACGTGATAAGAACCCCAACTTTGAGCTCTTTGCCATGGAGCCCTGTACCACATTTCATAACCGTGTATTTCTTTAAAAATAATCCATCCTTGCCGCGGGATACCAGAAAAAGGTGGCACAGATTTTTCTGAGCACAGCCACATCACAGGAAACATTAAATACTTGCATTTAAAAGCATGAGCTTGCACCTCTGATATGCGACAATGAGGGATTACAGAGCTGAAATTTTGTGACAGGCATCTTGAAAATAAAACACTTTTTTAGTGGGTGCTTGTATTTGGGAAACATACCGGCCCAAACCCTCCACCAGAGGACAACATCTCCGGGTTCTTCTTCAGATCAATGTGCTGCTGTGGTGTCTGACTCGTTGACAGCCTCCAAGGTTCTGACAAAACCTTTATTAGACATGAAAGAGATGCAAACAAATAAAAAACACTGCTTAAGAACATGCAGCTTTCTCAAGAACTAGTCGAGATAACAAATGTTACAGCAGGTGCAACATTGTTTTATAAACTCTTAGAAAATACTTTATAAAGTAGTATTGAGGATAACTTCCATTTCAATGGGATGAAAAAAATTAAGAAGCTTAAATGAAACGGTTAAACTTGTCCTGATATGGAAACCATTAACATATGAGGAAGTGATGTCAATTCCTCAAAGAGAAAAAAATAGAATTTCAATAGAAATGCTACTTCAAACAAGGTTCTCTGGTCTACAGCCTTGTAACTCACATACAAAAGGTCTTGTTTTCACAAGACCATTATTAGTCATATTCAAATCCCAGGAAGATCCTATATCAAGTTAGAAGCTTGTAAAATCTCTAACAACACATCTTGGAAGTTTGTGGAAACTGTAGAAAGTTGTTTTATTCTTGACTTAGCTACATTTAGGAGAGCAAGCAGACAAATGTAAGTAGCTTGTCTTTGAAGCAAGGTGGAACACATTTTTTATTAATCAGAAAAAATTAGCAAGTGCAGTGTAATTATTTTTATAAAACCCAACCTTAAAATCTAGTTTAATTAATAATTTGTCAAAGTAATAAACAATGACATTAATGCCGTATACAGCTCCTTTAACTATTAGTAACTTAAAAGGAATTGAATTTATCTGTTTCACAAGAAAAACACACAGTCTCTGTTGCACTCCCTTGAAAATATGCAAAACCTGCAAGCAAAACAATTTTTTTCAATATTGATTATATATTTCTTGCAATTCTAAGTAACATGCATTGTGCTAAAAAGCTCTGTGAAAGCATTCTTCTTGTTCTATCAATAAATGTCTATGTGAGGTTTGAGAACCTCCGGGTGCTCTTAGGCACTTAAACTGTTGGATTATTTTTTTAAAAAAGTAAGTTAATAGTTGTTATAAAGTTATTTATTGCAGAAGCACATCAGTCTTAAAGGCAAAAAACAAAGCAGAGTAATGGTAAAAAAAGCAGAGTAATGGTAAAAAGCAATGGCATAAAAGCAAGTGGTATAAAGTAAAAGGCAATGGCAAAATGCAGTGGCATAAAGCCATGGCACAGAGCACCAGCTCTCCCTGATGCATGTTCTAAAATAGAAACTTTTTAACTAGCTAAGACAGAAACTTGGACTACTACTTTTTAACTTATTAGAATTTTAGTTTCTTAGTACACTAGACTACGTACAAGGCCTATCTTGTTTTAGCTAAAAAATGTAAGCAATATTCTTAACTTTAACTTAATTATGTTTGAAGTTAGGTTTTTGGAATTTCTAAGGAAACACTAGTATGTTTTTTAACTTTCACTAGAACATGTACTACTTTTTTTGGCATTTAAGACCCTTTACTTACTAAAAGCACTTAAAACTTATTTAACTTACTCACTTATGTTAAAACTTAAACTTTTACTTCTGCCTTATGTAAGTGACTTAATATACTTTAACCCATCTAAAGGCTTTCATTTAATTTTTGCACTCTGATCTCTCTCTGAAAGATTCAGAGAGACTCCTAGCTTACTAACTCTTAACACGAACACATAAAGGAAAATGAAACCAAACAATTTATCAGCAGATGTTAAACAGCACAAGCTGAAATTTTTACCTTTTTCCTTAGGAAAACCGGAGTCGTGCAAGTATCTTGAGCAGATACCACAAAACACTAACTGACCAAAGGGCTATTTATTTACAGAAGAGCTATCAATAAAAGTCACCCACTTCCTTGAGGAAAGGAGAATCCACAGCCAGGTACTTGGACACGACATAGAGGCAGAAGAGGTGGCGGTCGATGCCGGCCCCGGTCATGGCCAGGCGATACAAGTGCTGGTGTTTGGCAGCTGCCTGCCTGAAGAACTTCAGCGTATTTTCAGTCTAACAAAGCAAAAAAAAAAAAAAAAAGATGAGGAAAACTCAGTTAGGTGAACTGCATTAAAGGATGGAGGTGCAGCAATGACTGTCAAGCCTTGAGCACTTAAAGGTCAAGTACAAGACAAGTGAACTCCAAAAGTATCCTCTGGCTTTTCAACCTCACGTATTTAATTACAGCTATTACCTGCTGGAAACTGCATAATGAAAACTAATTTGTACTTTAAGTGTTATCTAACCCTACAATCAAACAGGATTACAACTCAAGTTCACTACATTATTTATAGTTTCTATAGATACTGGTCTTAAAAAGAGCAAATCTCAATGTGGTTTAAGGAATGCTCAAACAGCCAGTGCTATTTTAGAAGGCAAACTGCCAGCACTGAAGGTACAGAGGTCCATAAATGCTGGTCATCAAAATCAACATGTAAGAGCAACTACTTCCCTCCTGTGAATTATTCTTCCTTCCCTGTCAGAAAGGAAAGCTTAACTGGTATGAGATTAGTTGTTCTATGAATCTATGTTTGAATTTTACAAGTCACAGAAAATTTCACAAGTAATCACAGTTTCCTGGAGTTCAGAAACAGATAAATAAGGGTATATTTAGTTAAATTTTGCCATTCTTTTTTGGTAAAGAATTTCTTCTCTACTGACAGAAAACATGGACAATTACCTTATGCAGCCCTTCAAAGCATCATTCTAAATGCTTAGAAACTATTTGGGGACTTGCATGGTTGTCTAGTGGTAACTCATGTGCCTTATGAATTATCACAGAATCATAGGCTGGCTGGGTTGGAAGAGACCTTTTAGATCATCTCATTCCAACCCTCCTGCCATGGGCAGGGACATCTTCCACTGGACCAGATAGCTCAGGGCTCCATCCAGCCTGGCCTTGGACACTGCCAGGGATGGGGCACCCACAGCTTCTCTGGGAGAACTGATCCAGTGCCTCACCACCCCCACAGTAAAGAATTTATTCCTAATACCCAATCCAAACCTGCTCTCCCAGCTGCAAAAGGCACCAACACCATGGACTTACACTTTCATTTGGGTCTTCCATGGCCCTAACAAAGCGACAGGACTCAACGGTGCACGAACGAACCGTCTCGGTCCTGCCTTCTCGGAACAGCCGTGTCATGGAGGCTTCATAGGTTAAAGAAAACTTCCCCATGTCCTTGGAAAAGGGAAAAATAACAGCTTAAAGGTTGAGGCAGAATTGGCCTCTCTTTCTTGATCAACAGCCCAAGCTAAGCACACAGGTTTATGAATCACTCCACAAATTAAACTCAACATTGAAGTTTTCAGCTTACCTAAAGATAATAAAGGCAAAAATAAGATTGGCAGCAGGATTTGATAAACACTAACAGAACAACCAGACTAGCAAAGGCTACTCTCTGCATTTTATATTCAACCTTCTTTAGTTTATAAGAGCAGCTGAATGTTGCTACACTGTTTTTTTTTTCTGATAGCACATTACAGGAAAGGCGAACTAAATGGAAGAAAATACAGGTAAGCATTTCTGTTAATCCTCTTAGGGAGTATCCATGACTACTGCATCATGTGTGACTCTAATCTAAAAGGTAAGCTTAACATGGTTTAGATTATAAACACAGCTATTAGAAGTTTCATGTCTTCTTTCTAGTCCAAAACGCCTAGGGACAGACCAACTAAGCAGAAGAGAAAAATTTAGAAATGTATCAGTAGGTGAACCATTGTAGGAGTGGTTTCCAGCTAGCAATCTGCTCAGGGATTGTATCAATTTGCATTGCACGCTTTTAACAACCACGTAGTCCCAGGTTTTAGTCACAAACATGTCAGACCCAGCTTAGTGAGGTTCTGTAAGCCAGAACAGTTCTGCTCTTACCCGGTAGTGAGCCAGCTGCAGGGCAAGCTGCACAAAGGCATCAGGGCTGGTTTTCACTTTCTTTATCAGTCCTTTCCCAAAAGTATCAAAATAAAATGAACAGAAGTCCACATCATCTGCTAGAGCTACGGCAGTGCTCAGAGACTTCTCAATCACTTCTTGGCACTTAAATAAACAAACAAACAAACAGCTGTATGTATACAAACATGCATTCATGGTATTTGAGAGAACTCTTGAAAAAGTGCAAGTATTTTTAACTGATAAACAGGAATGATTGCTTTTATGCATGCCAGGAACATCATTACCTAAATAATTTCCCTTTAGGGAAAGAAGAGAAGCCATTTTACTAGAAAGTTAAAATTCAAAAAGCTAATAAAAATGTTCTAAGTCAGTACACATTAAAAAATAACTCTTAAAAACCCACCAGCATCAAAATATTTCAGATCAGAAGAATATAAAAGAATGGCCTACAGTTACAGAATGGCAATAGTAGTGTGACTTCCAAGCTCCCATTTAGCTTTAAAATCCAAATAGGTGGTGGCAGGTTTTCTAGCAACTCAGGCAAAAAAAACCCCCCACTCCTTAAAAATCAAATCCTGTTAGGCATGTATACAGAACTATGAACACAAAAAAAAAAAAAGGAGTTATTCTAAAGGAACTATTAGACAAGAGTTTTTGTTGTGACAACAGTAATGAAACCTCAGCAAGTAAAAGTTTATTTTAATACAGTCACTATTTAAAAGAGGTAGCCACTTATTTTTGACATACTGCCAACCAAAAAAGCTTTTAGTAAAATGTTGGCATTTCCCAGTTAGAATTTTTAAAGATTGATATTAAAAACCTCTGACTTTCTAAGCAAATTGAGTAATGGCTACACTTGAAGCACACAACCCACAGGATTCAAAGGAATTTAAAGCTGATTTATAGGGTAATCTATAATTACATAAATTATTTGACCACTGGGGAAGAGAGCAGTTTCTTCCTCATACCACTAAATCTTATTTACTTACTTCTTCTGGAATTTCCCACTGCAGTTTGGTAGGAAGAGGAATATTTGGATTGGTATCTCCTCTGCAATGTCCATCTACTGAATAGCCCAGTTCAAGATACTCAGTTGCCATCACATTCTGCAAAGAATGACACTTCTTCAGAATTTCCAACACAATACTTACTGCCATGGAATTAGGATTTCATTGTGAAAGCAGCATAACCTATTTTCACTACACAGACAAATAAAATATACAGTCCATTTCCAAATACTGAAAACAACTGCAAGTGAAGCCCTCAGTTTTACAAGAACACCAGATGTGCATCAAACACTTATTCAATTACACTGGTGCATTTTGTGAGATGCTACTGATTTAATAAAAAAATTTTCAATTCAAAACCCACCTCAAACTAAGTAGAAGTAAAAAACTAAACTCAGATTTCACAATCTTTGCTCAGTTTAGATTCTAGAAAATTTCTTCAAGTTTGTTGTTTGTCAAAACTTATTCATCTAGGAATCATTTATTTCAGAGTAAGTGCAACCCCCTGCAAGAACTCAATTATTTTAAAGATTTGTATCCCTTTCAAAATTGCAGTTTATTTAAATGTGCACTAGAGTTCTTGGGTGGGAAAGAAGAATATTTCCAAGATGAACAACACAATTTGAACAGACATAAAAGGCCCTGTCTTACAAGATATCAACCATCCTCGATGTTAAAAGAAAAAATCCAGGAACAACAAACTTGCATACAGACACAAAGAATTGCCAAAAGATTTGAATCTGCTTAATATGGAAAGAAAAACCTTGATGATTTATTTCTGGTCTTTTATTTTAGTTTCATTTTCTCATTTCACTTAGTGGTCAGAACATGACAATTATGAAATAAAGCTTTGTCCATTCTATTCTAAAAACAGATGTAAACAGCTAACAATAGATAACTTTCAAGAAAATTAAATCTTGTTTCAGTCATCTTAATTCTTAGCAGAAAATGCACCAACTAATAGTACAGACACGTGAATTAAGCATATAATATCATTCATTAAAAGCAAAAAAAAAAAAAAATCCCTCTTTACTTGAGATAGTCTACAGTGCATTGTCATGTCACTCTCTAATCAGTCTGGCCTTCTTTCTTCCCTGGGTGGAGAATGCAATGAGCATTTTTTTTTGTACTTATACACATGGAAACACTTCTACAATATAGCTCAGAAATTACTTGGGGGACCAGTTAGACTCAAGACCCATTTGCACAAATACATACAAAATCAGAATTAACTAATGTCTTTGAAATAGTTTTAATTGATCTGAGTCACATAACTCTTTGTAGGTTTAAGCTTCAAAACAAAAAAGGAAAAAAGTCAAATAGGATTTCAAGAATTAAACTAAGCATATGATGGACAGACATGGCAAAGTGAATTTATTGCATTTGTTGCACATAAATACAAGAGATAATGTCAACAGCAGATCAGTCTGCATCTTGGCAAACAATGCTTAGACAAAAAATTAAACTGTGTACAATTTTTTAAATTTTGAAAGTAAGCATAGGAGTTTTGTAGTGCAAGAAAGCTTAAGAGCTTTAGGAGCATGTACATACAAAAAATGCAATGCCATATCAAAGAGGATATCTGTGGATTTAAAACATTAAAGTAAAGTTAGATGGGGAGCTGTATCACCTTTCTGTGAAGACATCTAAGCTCACTAAAATGCTACCCTTCAAAACCAGCAGTTCTTAAGCAAGGGTTTGGGATCATTTTCAAATTCTAGTCACTCATCAGCCACCTGAATGCAAGGGATTGAAAGCAGCTGCTGACCTTCAGGGTCACATTATCTCCTGCATTAGCTCTTTGTACCAAACACCTACCTCCCACAGGTGTCCAACAATAGGAGCATCTGCCCAGGAGTGCTCTGCATTCAGGCCAATTTTGCCATTTTTGAATACTATAAGAGTGAATGTCTTATCAAACCACCTACAAAAGAAATCAAGGTTTCTTTTTGGTTTTGCACATTTCAAAAGCATTTTTGTATTGTAACTTCCTCTCTCTGTAAAATTCACATTCAAATGCACTAGGACTTAGCCTTTTTTATTTGAGAACATTTAAATAAATAGACAGAAATTTGAACTACAAGGCCCTGCACCTAGGTCGAGACAATGCCCAGTACCCACAAACTGATGGATTAACAGATTTAGCAGCTCTGCAGAGAAAAACTTGGGGATGAAAAATCCATCATGAGCAGCCCAGGAAGCAAATCATGTCCTGGGCTGCTTAAGAAGCAGCATGGCCAGAAAGGTGAGGGAGGGGATTCTGCCTCTTTACTCCACTCTGGTAAGATCCCACCTAGAGAGCTGTGTCCAGCCCTGGGGTTCTCAGCACAAAAAGGACATGGAACTGGGTCAGAGGAGAGTCATGAAAATGGCAGGAGTGCTGGAATACTTCACCCGTGAAGAAAGGGTGAGAGTTGGGCTGTTCAGTCTGGGAACAGTTTCTTGCAGCTTTTCAATAGATAGAGGGCTAACAAGAAAAGCTGAGAAAGATTTTTTGTCATGGCTCATAGTGACAGGACATGGGAAAACAGATATAAACTGAAAGAGAGTAAATTTAGATGTGTTATAATGGAGAAATATTTTTTACAGTGAGACACTGGAACAGATTGGCCAGAGAAGCTGTGGGTGCTTTGTCATTGCAAATGGTCAAGGTCAGGTTGGAGTGGGCTTTGAGCAATCTGATGTCGTGAAAGTTATCCCCTTCTCTTGCAAAAGAGGGCTGGAACTAGATGAAGGTCCCTTCTACCCCAAACCTTTCTGTGATTCTATGGAATTTATCAACTTAAAAGTCATCATTAATTAATACGTGTAGCCAAATTCTACAAAAAAAGGAAGGGATTTTCCCCAGTGTCAATACTGTACCTGTCATAACATCTGCCATGTATCAGTGATTTTGCATATGCATCCAGTGACCTCACTGGGTCTTCTTTCTTGTACCCCTGCTCAACGTCATCCAATGTCACAAAAAATGCTGCTTTTTCAACAGCATCTAAGGACTGCTTGTTCTTTCCACGGCTAAAATAAGCCTGACGAGCCTTAGCCCATGGCACTCTGTAAAAAAGAAAATTGGTTTATAGCCAGATTACATAAATTTGTCAATGTTTGATTATCTTTAAAATCACTATGAGACATTCCTCCTATTTCTGTGGAATTCGACACAACTGCTTTCCTTGCATTCAAACCGTGAGAGCTGTGAAAAGCTCTGACAACACTTGTACAGTGGAATCCTAAGAACCAATTCAACTCATCATCACACGTGTGCAAAACCTCATCCTCAGAAACTCAGCATCTCTGCACATGCAATACCTACAGCATAGGTCTGTCTACACTTGAAACTAAATAAAAGAAAGGATCTATTATAAGGAAGAAGACAACAGTAAAAATAGTATAGGATTGCTACTACAAGGTTTTTTTAACTCCACACAATTACAAGTGGCTGAAGCACTGTTAGACATCATCAATATACAAAATCAGTGAGCAAAGTGTAAACAACTGACTGCAGACTATTTTAAAATTCTAAAGCCAATATTCAATGATTATGTTATTCAATGATTTCTAAACACTAAACTCATTTTAGAAGTAATAACCACCATACCTATCTCCTGCAGTAAGAGCTGCAAGTTTCTCTTCACCAGGCTGAGGTTCTGAATCATCATCAAGAATTCTCTGTATTTGCTGCTCAATTTCTCGGGGCCTCAGCAATCTGCCATCATGGTACAGCCACACTTTGAAGTAACGGCCCTTGTGATACACAACAATGTGTTTGCTGTCTTTCACGTGCTGGAGGGTATCTACAATTGTAATCACTTATGTGAACACAAAGCTGAACTCCCAAAACACTGCTGCACTAAATAACATCAGACACCTATTGCGTGTACTACAAATTATTTCATCACCCCATGTTATTTCATCACAGAGATTCCCACACCAAACAGCCAAATACCCAGATCTGACAATCATTTGCATGTATAGCACCACCAGTCTCCACTATTAAGCAAATAAATCTGTATTTCTGTAGCTGGAAAATGAGCATTGGTAGTGTAGTCTGGTGAAGCAGTCAGCAATGAACATGAACAGGTGAGTATCAGGAAAGGTATTTTTAAATCATTTGCATTCAGGTGCTAGAAAACTCATGGAGAATCTTAAGAAACTCAAAATTTATACCACGAGCCTTTGTTTACATTTGTCCTGGCAGATGCAGAATGAATATTAAATATATGGCCAAAATGTGTAATGTTATGTGAAGCAGAAAAGTAGACCATATTTTTTCCTCATTTTACTATTTTCATGACTTAACTGGAATAGCCTGAACTTAGTAATGAAGGCATTGTATCAAACCATACCCCCAGTCGTTCACCCCATAGCATGTTTTGTCAAAAACTATAACTATTTAACAACTGCTCAAATGGCAGGATACAATGTTCATCAAGATTTTACCACCAATTTATACAAAGACAATTTATTTCCTTTTCTTTTCTTTAGGAACTGAATTGAGATCAGGAGACAAGGAGTCAAACTTTTCATGAGAATGTGTGAAAATGTTTTTGGAACTCACTTAGACATATACAGAATGACACAATTGCTTTTCCTTCAGAAAAACAGAAACAAAGAAAAACGGGAAAAGTGTAATGGGAAATGTGAAAAGCCTGGGAGGAAAATAGGGTAATTATTATATTGACTGTAGTTTAATTTGAAAAACTATACAGGAGAAACTGAGGAGAACGACCAAGATATACAGGATGTATTTTCATCAGGTGCTAGTTAGAATGAGCCACTTCTACACTTCTGTGCAAAACTTATTTTAGACTGAAAGAAAACCAAATCTGAGGCTAAATGCAAACTGTTTATATCTTTTATTTTAATGACAACAGGGAAGGGGTAAGGGCTGCACTCTTAGTACTTGAAGCATTGCAGTATTCTAAATAATAGTAGCTCATTGACTGAAGTTGTCCAATAGAGATTTAAAAACCTGCTCATCTATTTCAGCTGCTGGTTATGACATGGAGTAATGACACCAGGGATGTCCTTTCCTTCACTCTGCAGATAAAGCTGTCTGAGGCATAGCTGAAAAAAAAATTCCTCAACAATCTAGCAAAGGCCAGCAGCAGAACTGAGAGCAAAGTCCTTATCTGACACATGCACCTACTGCTTTATCCACCAGCCAATGCCACTTGTCCCCCTTATCCAACCTCTCACAGCACAGCAATTGTCAGCCCCCAGCAGGCAAGAGTGGGCAGATCTCTTTAGAAACTCTCTGCCTTGAATTCTGTAGTGGAGAGGGAGTGACAAGTTTGAAGGCAGTTGGAAACATGAGAGTGAGTTCCAGGCCTCAGAGAAAGTAAAATAAAAACCTCCCTGTCTTCAAGTGGCAGCCCAAATGTGCATTCCCAGTGGAGGTGACTAAACAATAACTCCTGCTTGTATTTCACTGTGATGCTGCCACAATGATGCTCTGTTGGGTAAACATGGGAAATCAGTTCTAAGAGCCTCTTCAGCACAGGACATGACCAGGGAAGCCTAGATGGAGCTCAGGCTTTTGTAGAAAATCACAACAGCACAAGTCTCCACCAAAATCTGCTGTGAAGTTCTCAAAGAGTAAGGAGATGAATAGCAATGTTTTCTTCCACCTGCTGATTGCAAATGGGAAGTTTTTCTAGATGCAGTCTGACTCCACTTAGAGTGACAAAACTTAGGAAAAGCAAAAAAAAAAGGGCAACAAAAAAATGCCACTTTTTATATTAAGACCTCAAAAATCATCTAAAGCTTGGAAAATAAAAGTAAAAGTTATTTATAAATTAGAAAACAGGGCAGACAACATTATCTTGAAGTAAAGGAGAAAATCCACTAAAAAAGCTTCAAAATCTCCCTAAAATGAAAAACATCTAGTCACTTCACAGCAATCCATTACATCCTGAGTCTTGGAAGACAGTATTGATGTATAGACTTGTGCCAGTCAGATCCTTATCTGGAAAATTTTTAGTAGAAAAGACACCAAGCCCTGAATTCCACCGAAGTGCTTTTTCTCCTTGGCTGCCCTTGCTTACCTGATTCCTCTCCTGGGATTCGGGAAGTATTAAACATCCTTTCCCACTGAGCTGAGCAGAGCGGAACAGTAGATCCCATCAGAAGAATCTGTGAAGAAAATGTACATTAAAATGTAATTTTGCATATACGATTAGAAAATTCAAAAGTAAAGAAAAACCCCAAGATCTGGTTAACCAAAGGCTTCAGAATAGTAAGATTTATATAATACATTGATGAAATGTTGAGGTTTTTTTTCCCTTGAATTACATATGGAATATTCCATGGACATTCCAGAAACATTATTTTTTCCCCTTCTACCAAAAGCTCACCCTTCAGGAGGGAAGACTGAAGCTAGCTAGCATCTGAAATCTCTGAAATCCACAGCTCTCCATGGGTGATCTGCATGCAAAACTTACACATGCAGCATGCATCACCCCTTAATTCATTCTTTTATGCCTGTGTAGGAACAAAAGTTCACATTTCTCAGAACTTATAGTTCCATACAATTAATCACATCCCTTCAATGATCTTGAAAAAAACTACTTAACTGTTGCCACAGTATTTATTTACTACAATACACAGCCACTGGATAGTACAGAAACTCAAATGAGATTTGCCACCTAGAAATTAGTGCAACACAGGATTTTATCACCATCTTGAGCTCCCACTGGCCCATTCTTGGTGTCAAGTGGCCTCCAGACCTTTCCTGTATTGTACCCATACAATTCTGTGTTTTTGACAGCTGGTAGTTTCTGCCCATGTGCAATTCAAGTGATACCCAAGATGATCTGGACCACAAAAATTAGTGACAGCAAGACATTCCTTTCCTCTCCCATTTTAAAAACCTGGTCAGCTTCTCAGAGATTGTGCTGGAAAAAGACCAAAAGCCATTTAACCTGATATACATACTGGCTTGATTTCTTGTCTGTCCAGTTTTTTCCGATAGAGCAGGATGGCATGGATAACATTACCAGCTCTAGCTGCCTGCAGGGTTGTGGGACACAAAGAAAGGAAGTCCTGTAAAGTAGATAAGAATCATAAGTTAATGATTACCAGGCTAAATTAAAAAAAAAAAAACAAAACAACAACCCAAACCTGATAGTACTTCTCATCCACATTCTTAAAAGTTTATTCTGGACAATGCAGAAAAGGCTTTAAAATTTATGAAGTGCATAAGTGTAGTGAGCTGATGAAACTTTTCTTCAGCAGTCACAATCCCCTTAAACATTCTTAATCATTTGAGTAGAAAAGACAGCTACATAAAACCTGGTCCAAGACCATCATATTTCTTTTTCTCTTTTTAATTTTCAGTCTTTTACAATTTCACTTCCCCTACGTACATTTGCTAGCATGAGCTAGCACGTCTCCATCAGCTGTGCTACCATGAAGTTTTACATGGAGCTTTTGGAATATTGCTTTTTACAGGAAGGACAAAACTGTTTAAGTCATTACTGCATGACTTTGCCAAAGTGGAGGCTGTGCTAGGGTTGTTAAGATAAGTATGTGACATACTTGAAGGCACCTCAGAGACATTGGCTGAAGAAGAAAGAAAAACAAAGGTTACATCCTCAGTGGCAATGGGTTTCTAAGCAGAAAGACACCATGAAGTAAGAGGCCTGCCAGAAATGTTACAGTGCTTGGCACAAAAGGTGTTTATAGGATTCACCTACCATTGCAAAATAGTTGCTATTAACCATAATTGGTCCACGTCCCCTAAGGTAGATATATTCTTCCCACCAATCACTAACCTGCACAGGAAGGAAAAACAAAAGCAGTAAAATCTCATCATTTCCACAGTTTATGCCTTCTATGCTGATGGCTCCACAAGACAACATTCCACACAGAAGTAGGAAGGAAACTGCTGGTTTGCCTCCCTACTTAAAAAAGACAATAATCCCTGCCCTGCTAATTTTTATCAGACTTCAGGGAAAACAGGGGAAAAAACGGTGAGAGAACTAAATTAAATTCAGCTATATCTCTCTGATAAGGTTTCAAAGAAGTCATGATCTCCACATAATATTTAAAATGTATCTGATCTCCTGAATCCTTTACAGTCTTTGCCAGGACAGATAAGGTGACCTGGGTACAGGCACATTAGATAATATATCAAGAAAGAATTAACATTACAGTTCTCACGATGATGTTGAGAGTTGGATTTCTTTTTTTTTTTTTTGGTAAGAAAAAAAAGACCAACAACTCAATTGATACAGTTCTTTTATTTTTCTTATACATGCCTTAGCTGCTCTGTATTAAAAAATTGTTCTAAATCACCCTTCTAAACTACCTGGGTAGCCAGGCCTGTTATTAAGTTACCAGGCTCAACAAGGAAATAAACAAACCTCAAAAGCAATCAAACAACAAACCCTAACAGCAAAATTTCCCAGAATAACAAAACGCAAAATAAGGACTTTTTTTTTTCAAGTTTCATTCACCTTTGTTCACCACACTGTTTACTAAATCACACAAATTATTTACCTGCAAAGTCACGTGTACTTTTAAAAACATTAAGCAGTTTCAATTTCCTTCTTTCACATTTAGGAAATAATGGGATTTAAGCCAAAAAGAGCACCAGGGAACAAATACAACTGAGCCTCCTATTTATCTACTTACGTAATTGGTGGCCCACCAGGATTTTAGCTTCAAATACCACTGAAGCCTTGGTCCCAAATTAAATGCAAAATCTTTGGCAAGACCCTCCATTCTTTTGAACTTTTCATCATCCATGAGTGGTCGAACTGACTCCAGATACTAGAACACAAGAAAAGAATCAGCATCACTACAGGAACTAATATGTAGCTTCTCACCAGTCCTACATAAAACACTTGAACAGCAAAGATTATCCAGTCTCAATCCATACAGCTGCAAATACCATGTTTTTAAAATAAGACTACATGATCTTCTAAAAATCTGCTGCAAACTTCAAAAAATAAAATATTTTTTCAGACATTTGCCAGCGAAACTTTCTGAAGATTTTCCACTCTGAAGGGTAAGACATGCTGCTTCTTCAGTAGCAGACAGATTTATTTTTTTCTCCTCTAAAAGTCCAACCTTCAGTTTCTGTGACATACCGCCATATTTACACACTTTGCTACAAGGTTTTGTGTTTTAACACACACGTTTAATAACACTGTACAGCTGGGGAGGATAATAAAAGTGGTCTGCTTCAAAAACCCTGGCAATCACACTTTGTGGCACAGCATTCCAGCAATAGGCATCGTGTCATCCAATGTGAATCACACTGGCTCCAAACTGTCCCCACTTTCACTGGTTTGTCACAGCCTTTATTTTAATTTCCATGCAGAAGTTTGCATCTGTTCCACCATTTTAATACCACTCTGCAGTTTCTCATGAGGCATGGCAAAAACACCCCAAAAGGCATCGAGGTATGGATGCTGTGCTACTAAAGAAAAGGAATTGGTGAGTGTACATACCCTGGTAACTGTGTCTTTAACAGCTGGAACTGGCAGTCGTGGTAAAGATGTCTGGAAACTGTATAACATGGGTTTTCGCCCTGAGAAAAGCTTTACAAGGGTCTGAAGAAAAGCAAAAATAAAATAAACACACCAAATTATTAGGTCCAATGAAAGAAAAATGCCAGAGTAAACGTGTAATGTAACTCACAGTCCTTTTCACTGGTAAATTATACTGTACTAGATTTAGGAAGCTACCAAATTTATCATGGTTTCACAAGTAAAAAAATGACTTGGACAGAAACTAACTTCCTAAATGTTAAGCACCATGTCATTGGAAGAGCAAGATAGGCATGGTCATTCCTGACATCCCAGTCATCATCCTGTCACAGGCAATACTGCTGTTTATGCAAGGGCACACCTTGATCTCAACACAAATACAGGTACTTAGCACTTTTCTTCAGACATTCCCCCCGGAAAGATTAAAAAGACCACGTTTACAGCTGACCTTTTACTATATTACATTGTAGATACTAGAAACATATCTAAATTGTGCTTCAAAACACAATCATTATCAAGCCTGTGACTCAGCTAAGGTTTCTAGATAACTACAGTAACCTTGAAGAATAATAATTATGCTTTTTTATCATGGTTTAATGTTTTCCAAAAGTTACAGCTCAAGATCAATAACAGGGCCAATGTTACAAGGAGTTAATTCAAGCATGAATCCATCTCAGGTAGTTTACTGCATGATTTGAACATACCAAATTGTGCAAGCATGCCAGTGTTATACTCAGTGCTTGTGTTACATAAAAAAACCCCAGCAACAAACCAAAAAAGCCAGAGAGAACTTAGCTTCAGATAATAGAGAATCCTGTGTTCCACAGGGGAGTGCAAACAGAAGCAAATTTTCTGTCCACCTCAACTTTTCAGTTGCAGCACACACTAAGCTGAAATTCTAGACCATGCAACTTCAAGGCTACTCATGAGAGGATGTGGACACTGCCACCCCATTCCAGCACCAAAGTCCAGTGAAGTGTTACACCAACAATCCAGTGGAATTTTCACTGTTTGAGTGTAATCTTGCTCCAGTTCACAGGATAGTGTATACAAGCCAAGAGACAAGACACAATAAAACAAAGGATGTCATTTCACTACTAAACTCTGAAAACTTCTCCTAACAAAACTGTTAGGATGTAAAGCTTTTCCTCCCTCTCACTTTCCTGGGTCAGCATAGGCAGAGGAGACAATTTTAGGCAGCACAGAACAACTAGGAATTGCAGAGTATTACCAGCAACAAAGACCTCCCTGCAAATGGATCTGCCTGGGAACCATCAGATGTACGTGGGCAGCACCACAGTGATCTGCCCCATGAAATCCAGTCGTGCTTCAGGACAAGATAATTTTGGAAACAGGTGGGAAAGAAAAAGCTCAGCTTTTCATCTGGAAATCTAATTTCATACGTGGAGACAATTTCATTCCAAAAACTCTTAAGCCAGAAAAGGCTAAAATTATTTGAAGAGAGTACCTGCTCAACTGACAAAAACCAGGAAACACATTTCACAGTATTTATCTCTTAAGAAAACTTGTAATAGAGAATTTATAATAGCGTGAGGCCAATAAAGTGCTCTGACAGACACACACATTTCATTACATCTCTGATTTCATAGGCAGACACAGCAAATAATGTCATTCTAACATATGTTGCATCTGTTCACACATAATTACCATTTTTTAATTCAATTTTTTTTAAATGGCAACTAATATTTGGATTTCCCTCCCTAACACTGGTACAGGAAATTTGACTTTACAAGGTGAAATATCCTGATTAAAAGTGCCACCAGACTTCCAACCGGTCTGAAAAATCACTTTGTACTGTGACTAAAATTAGAGCTCATGTTTTTGATCTGCATGATCATTTGAAGAGAAAACAGGATTATAAAAATCTAGAAAGCTAAGGTAGTTGGAGGTGTTTCACTAGTGAAACCAGTCTTCTCTTTTGCTGGGTCTAGTTAAATAGACCTTCATAGTAGGTGTAGATGAGACACTGTTGGGCATACACCTTCAGTGTTCTCCACTTCTAAAAATATACAATACACAACAAAATACATATGCAACATATATGATAGACTAAAATTGATAAATACAATATGCAACACAGCACGGTAAGTAGCATCACAGTTCATACTGTTTTAAGGTTGATAAGGCAATATTAAGAGCTTTGAAGTATCTATCTGGTAGGACATGCTAAAAACCAAGGCAGCTACAGCTCCAAGCAATTGACAGAAAGCCTTACCATTCAGAGCCTCTGGATGGTACCAATTTGAGTCATGAGGCTGATACCACTTCCAGGAGAAACCAGCAATTAGAAATTTCATTTGTAACAGACAAACATTAAACTCTATTTTAGTGTACACCATTCTGGATAACTGTCCTTGAATAGCTCCCAGAGTAAATCATGACCTGGGCTTAGTTTAACACACATCCATGAATTTTTGAGGCCGCAGAGATTTTATTTTATCACACTACAGAAACTAAGCTATTTCTACCACAATACAGGCAAAAGTGAGATGAAAGGACTGAGTCCAAGTAGCAAAACCCCACTTCATCTCTTGCAGCACCAACATCTACATCTCCTCACTTTATACCTTATCATATCCTTCAAGAATCCTTTTCCAAAGCACCACGACAGCCCACAGGTGACATACCACTCTCACCTCACCCTTATCTGAAAACTGCATAACATCCTACCTACACCTTATGCTTCTCCCCCAACTCTTTTTGGAGGCATACCAATAAGTCAGTTGAAAGGACACTCAGCAATATTTTCTTCAAGCATAAGAATAATTTTATAATGGATGACTAGAAATCCTAACATTACAACAAAGAATTAGGGGAGCACTTTCTGTGAGAACAATATTCTTTGGTGCTGCAGCCACAGTTCTTAAAGCTGTACTTGCACACAGAGTAAAAGTAGGCATTGAGTCACACAGGCCCAAGGTGCTGGCAAATTAACAAGTTATTCTTGAAGTGTTTACTCTTCCTTCCAGAAGGCCATGATGAATAGTTTCATTACAGCATTAGAAGGGTGACAGTAGAAATAGCTACCTGACAGCCCCCCGTCCCATGACACAAAAAACACAAGAAAGGAACAAAAATGACAAAATTTTCTTTTAAGGCTTTGGAACACTGATCAGGTAGAAGTTAAGACAGAACAAAGCCTTACCATCCAAAACTTGGTGCCAGCACTAAGCTTGCCGTGCTCGGAGAACATCCAGCCATGGTAGGAGAGCAGCATTTTCAGGGAGTAGCGCATCGTGACGATAAGGGCAACCCAAAGCCCCGTGCCAAAAAGCACTCCACTCACAATGTTCTGTGTTTGGTTTGACATATAGCCACTGCTTAAAACAAAAGCCAGCACATGCCAGTCAGTGTCCACCTAAGTTCCAAAGAGAGGCTGGTATTGCAAACATAAAAAAACAGTAGTACAGACAGGCTTTACACAAGCTTTATGTCTGCTTAGCTTGCTTTCATAAATTCCTTTCCAAACACCTTTTCATGCAGCAACATCAAAGGCCATAAAAGTTCCCAAATGTGCTTCCCAAATGCCCAGAACTGCAGCAATACTGGTACAACAAGCTCCCTATTTCACACCCTCCCACATCTGTCAATTTCTCTTGCCATGCCGCAAAGTTGCTGTTCCAAAACCGATACATTTTAACAGGAATAGCTTTAAGAGTAGCTGCAAATAAAGCTGATTTCCCTCCAGAGGAACACTCTACTTACGTTGTATCAAGTGTTCTGTTGATCTTGGCTATTATTCCTAGGGAAGGATCAATTTTGGCATACATGGTTGACATCACACCCACAACTACAATAAGCCAGCTGGATGGGCTAGCAGGATAAACGCCGGTGATAATTCCATTCTGGAAAGAAAAGCCTTCACATAATTTTTTTCATACCAAAGTGACTGACTTCATATTACCACAGAAAGAAACAAAAATCAACGTACTGAAGTCATCTAGTTATAAATAAATACTTAAGATTGTCCAACATTTTCGTACATATCTCAACAGTAGGGAATGGATTTACTTAAATTTGATTACTACAGAAAATTGTAACAATGATATCGATAGGGAAAGGAACTTTTACATTCTCTTGCAGACACCACTGATCCTGCTGCAAGTCCTACTAAAAATACTGAAACTAACTAACAACTCTAAAAACAAATGCTGTTTCAATAATTTCGATTTACACTGAGACGTTTCTACAGGAATACATGACAAAAATATTCCACTGAATAAGACACTGAGAACCAGCATTAATGTTTTTTATGTAATTTAAACAGTTCTTCTCTTTGTAAGAAAAATTTAGTAAGATTTCTGTTAATATGTTTATGTTTTTGAAAGAGATGTTGAAGATAGCCTGTAGCTTATGTAGTTTGCTACTAATTAAACAGATATTTAGAATTATAATTCCATGAATAGAACAATAAATTCATAGCAATCTACATCAAACACCTCATCAGAAACAGTAATACTTAGCTATAATAAAGAGTGTAGCCTTGTACCTCTAAGACATAGGACTCTAAAAATCACAACTAGTGTATTTTTGACTTCTGCTAAAAGATTACATAATTATGTGGTGCATTATGAAGAGAATGAAGATGGTCGAGTTAATTTCTATATCTGCTTCATCTTGCTTCCACAGAATAAATCAAAAATATGTACCCTTTCAGTCTCTGCAGTATCACCCTGTGCCACCTTCCTCAGTACCCCTAGTCTTAAATAAAATCCCTTTCACAATGAGGAACTTTATTTACCATAAAGGAATAAAAAAAAAAAAAATCACTTTTCCCTAAAAAAACTACAATAAATTCATAAAACATTAAATAACCCCGAAGTTTGGTGGAGTGGACTAGTGAAGCATACCTTGAATCTGATGAACTTCTTCTTCCATGAATAGACACCAGACAGGTAAATCTGTTTGAGTGCCTCATGGCTCATACGCAGGTCAATCCCATCTGGAGTTACTGTGAATTGAAAAGCTACTGCCTGATGAGCTTCCGCCATTTTCAGAGAGAGTTCTGTCAAAAAACCAAAGTTTAAAAAGAGTATATTTCCTTCTTGTCCAAAGGAATTGGGAACTAGTCCATTTCTAGCAAGATATTTTCTACACCGTAATTTCGGCAAAGATTTCTAAGTATAAAACATTTACATATAGTACTTGCCTTTTCCTTACAGGCTCTGCTTGCACTTCAGTCTGAGTGTCCTGAAGGTTAATTTAAGGCACCACTTTTAACCAGAACACCTGCAAATGGAATAAAAAAAAAACCACACATGTAACTCAGGCATTTTGGAAGCATCACAGCTGCATATCACCTATATATGCAATACATCCAAAAAATCAGAACAGAACAGGAAGCCAAAACATTTAGAAAAAGCATATCACAGAGCATCTTAGATTTCAAAGAAGAGTCAGAAAATGCTTTATTTGAAACAAAAGGTATCTAAAGTTTTCACCTCAGCTAGAAAAACAAAGCTGTTTCTGGCCATATCTTCTCCCAATTTTTTTTTTTTTCATATCCTAGTTTCAATATGATTACTCAAAGCAATAAGAGGCTATACTCCCTGTGGCTCAGTGCCATGACTGGCAAATAACTGCAAAAATCAAAACTATGCAGAGCTGAGGAAAACAAATCACAGCTGTCAGCAAAATTACCTTCCCAAAGACATCTGAAATTATGATGAAATTTCATGGAAATGCAGCTCTGTTTAACTGCCAAAACAAATATCAACAACCATGCCAATGTTTATACATAAACACCGTGGAAGTCATTCCCACTAATTATTGATTCAGACTAATGTTTTTTGAGCACTTACAAATAGAAAGTAGATTTCTGCAGTCAGACTCTATGTATAACATGGAAATGGTCAAAACTATGCACTCCTGAGGAGACCATCATGATTCCAAAGTCTCTTGCCCAACTTAATTTATTAGCTCACCAAAACTTCCACGCATAGCCCTAAAACCAATATCCTCCTAGAAGTATGACTAAACGGTAGTGGAATTTATTACCCCATCTGTAGGTCAGGATTCAAGGGCAAGTTTTAGATTGAGATTTTCACTGGTACAAAACACATTATCAATACCAAATGTTTTAAGGTGGCACTGGCATTTCTCAGTAGGCAAAATAAAAAAAAAGTACAACTACTTTACCCTTTTAAAATCCTAAAAGCTGAAAATTACGTTTTGTTTGCAAACCTTAAGCTAGTAATTAAATTCTGGTAGACTGTCATCCCCTGTTGAACAACACCTGAGGACTAACCAGTGCAATTTAGGTGGGCATTTCAAAAGCAGTTAGTTCTGACTGGAGTGCTGCTCCTCAAGTCTGTAAATACTCAACCAAATTCATCAGAAACACAAAGAATGGGTGCCAAGCTGTATGAGCAGACAACCAGGCACTTGGAATGCAGCAGCAACAGCAGGTTTAGGAAATAAATACACAATATAGAAAGAGAAGGAATACTCGGCAGAGATGAATGAGCTAAGTGCTGTTGCACATCATGCATTAAGGTTGCTGGCCAAGAGGCACGGATCCTTTGCAATATTTAATGTGCCTGTTCCTGGAGCAGCCTACAGTGATCCACCTCTGCAATACAACTAATGCTGCAGTGCCTAATGGCAATTCACAGATTAGCCACTGCTCAGGTTTTATAAGCTTCGTGCTGGGTCAATCAAGGCACCTGAAGCTCACAGTATCCTACAGATAGCACGCAATTGATTTATGTGTGTGTAGTGTGTGATTAGAATAACAAAGAAGAACAAAGGGCAACAATGCAAACCGGCTTTGAGCTCCAGTTTCAAAAGCTTTAACACAAGCCCTGTGTGCCCGAGTAACAGCTGCAATTTGTAGTACTTAATGACTCCTTCACTAACAACTGCTTATATGGGCTCTGCTGTAGGCAAGTATGAGGAAGTCAAAGCCAGCTGTCCATCCATTCATTCTTTCATTCATACTGCTCATCACCAGCTGACAAGAGAGCAATAAAACAGGCAGAGGCAGCAGCAATACAGGATATATACCTGAACTCAACAGCGTTTGCAAAGTTTAAGACTTTATCATACGTTTAGCGGCACTGTTAAGACGGGGATGATAAAACCCCAAATAACACATACAAAGAATGCAACTGTATTTGCATGCAGAGAATCGGGCACCTGGATTTGTCTTAAGAAGGCCAACAGGTTCTGCTCAGTTCACTCCTGCAATTTTGTATTCTGGAATGCCAGTGTCTCAAGTACAAGATCAGCTAGTTTCCCTTACCCTTCAACTCCCCTGTGACTCCTCAGCCTAGAAATTTATAATTAACCTCCTCTTTGTTTCTGAATGGAAAGAATTTCAGGAACCCTTTCGTTTTTAAGCATGTGCTTTTTTTACGATCCCGAGGCAGAAAAATGTTATAAACAGCATCAAGCATCAACAGTCAGCCTGACATTTTAATGAATTAAAATTTAGCAAACGAGCCCTGTCCAGTTCTAGGACTGTATTGCTTGACGTTAAGACGCGAAACAATAAAACGGCTTGTTTATTTTCATATCCTTTCCCTTTACTTAAGAAAAATCTTTTAGAAGTGCCCTGAACGACGAGGGCGGGACACCAAAGGCTTTGCCGAGCTCCGCTCGCCTTTGAGCGCTTGTTTTGGCTGGGCTAAGGCCGGGTTTAATCACAAGCCGCGCTTCCCCTGGCCGCATTCCTGCGCCGCCACGTGCTCGCCAGCGAACTGGGGGAAAGGGCACGGGCGGAGCCTTGGGCTCCTAAATCCCACTGGCCAGCGGCCCCCAGGCAGCATCCGCCACCGCCACCGCGCCTTCTGACCGCGCATTGCTGCGCAGCGTGCGCTCGTTAAACTCCTTCCCGACAGAGCAGCAGATTTGGACTTTGCTAGCAGAGACTTACTCAAAGGGAAAAAAAAACAAAAAACCACCAAACAACCTCAGCACAGTAATTTCTACAACTAATCTGAAATGGCTGCTTTCGTTCCTTTCAGTGTTCTCTTGTACATTAAAAAAAACCACGCGCCTGCCCCTTAAAATTTGGTTTATTGATTGTTTGCGAGTTTTTCCTTTTATTTAAAGAAGAAAGCTGCCTGCTCCTTGCTCTTATCTGGTTTTATTTAAATTCAAACATGCTGTAACAGTTGCAGATGTTTCTCCTCTTCCTTTTTCATACCTCTGCTTGAGCCAAACTAAACTAAGCACAATTTTTTCCTCATTGTTATAAACAAGCACTGCTAGGCTGGATGTCACTTTTAAGCCAAGAAAACACACTGCACGCTAGAAAGCCTTTTTGCTGATGGTCTGCAAAATAATGCTGCTACATCTACCATGCAGAAAGCATCCTCACGTTGTTATTTTTGCAGTTTCAGGACATTTACAGCACAAAGACTGAGGTTTAATTCACAGACCTTATGACTTCAGGTTGCAGGCACTGAACAGTCAATGTTAGGGTTTACATGCAATCCCAAAAGGAGATAAAGGCTTCAGCTCTGGAAAATCTGAGGCTATGAGAGGTCCTGTGTGCAGGATGCTTCCATTTAAGTCAGGCATGCAAGAAGTTACCAGTGGCAATGTCTCTGAAGCACGGTAAAAGAACTGCCATGTGCATTTTAAAAAGCAGCAAGCTTTTTTACAAAAGCTAACTGCATTACATTACACTGCACAAAACCAGGTATTAATTCCTGAAGCACTTACTCCTGGAAACCGCTATTGGGTATGAATATTTTTATTTTTCTGTAGATTTCATACACTTCACATGGATAAAGTGATAGTGTTAAAAAGAATAAAGTTACCACCTACGCCTCAAAACAAATGTTTAAGAGGATGTCACATGCTTCCTATACATTGCTTGGATCATGCAATTCACTTTTTCCCCCGTGCCCTCTTCCTCTTGAATAGAAAACCCCTGCCACTTCTCCTTGTCAGGATTCTAAACATCTAACAAAAAGAGACATATTACTTAAAAACGGTTTTCCCATAGATAGTTCCTTTTCCTGCAAAGGAAGTTAACAAACACAGAGGAAAACTGAAGAGATCTCATTCACTTGATCCCAAACAACCTTGATGAAAGACTTAATTCTATGACTCTCACTTCCAAGGTACATTGATAATTTAGTTTCTCCTCCCAGGTTTCTGACACCTATTTATAGATTAGCTTTAATATGCAGAGCATATGACTGCCAGTAACCAAACCAAGCTCACAAAACAATTCTCTCCAATTATTCTACCTGGATAATCAAAAATCGACAGTTTTCTACAAAAAGCAATGGCTGCTGCATATAGTTTCTTTGAGGAAATGTCTATGAACCAGCACACACAGGTTTGATACTGTCAGAGCCCTCAAACATCAAAGCCACAGTGTTCATAGATGGTGGGTAGACGTGCAGAATTACAGCTATCATGGCAGTTCTGAAATCAGAATTACCTGTACCTTGGCATTTCCAAATTCAAAATTACCTGGAAGTCCTCATATCCTCAGGCAGATACAAGCCACCACCAATAAAGCAAGGAAAAGCATCTTATGACAAAGGCTCTGTCTTCTGACTCCTGCCAAATTCCTACTAGGCAATCTTAGAAGGAAAAAAAAAAAACCAAACCCAACCCAAAACGAAATTGAAACCCCAATGAACTGCAACAGAAACTTGACCCAGAAGAATTTTTCATACGTTTCTTAAAATAAGCTTACAACTTCAAATTTTAGCTTGGCACTATGGTTTCAAATAGAGACTGGGGAGGAGAAAAGTGTGATCTAAATTATTTAAAATGACATTTTTTAAGGAAGCTTTCAAGATGACAGTGGAGAAAAATATCACATGAGAGTACATTAAACTCAATTTTAATAAGTAAACATACTTAAAACTATATTAAAATTTCCATTTAAAGCTAGACACCTTGATTGAAGAATCGTTTTGGAAAACCAAGCAAGTACCCCAAAGTCTTGGTCTGACCCCAAACCACTTTATTTAAAAGAGAAAAGTGAAGGAGAGGGAATCTATTTCTATTAACATGCAAATCAGTAAGAGTTACTGTTTGAATGTTAAAAGCAGCCACAGAGAACTAGAAAATAATTCTGGAGCTCCCAAAAGGTCTAGTAAAAAAAACTTTAAGTCTGAAACCTCTCTAAATATTGAAAATATTGAAGACATTTTATCCAGTATCTTGCTGTCCACACATTAGATCTCTCTTCAGGAGGTGAGCTTGCTACAGCTTTTAAAAGAAAACAGACACTTAAAAGATTGATTTTGTATGTTTAGTGATAACATATTTTGACTTTAGGGTAGGTCACTGAATTTTAAGAGTCTGAGGACAGACATAATGAAATTAAAGCCAGCATTTAAACACTTGAACAGCAGCGCTGTGTTTGTGCTGAGACAGTGACCAAGTATTTTCTCTGAGCTGGGTAAGCCATTACTATGGAAATTTGCATTTTCTATCTCTCAAAAAGACAAAACTATGAATGTATTTTGCTTTATACAGATCAGTTTTGTTTTATACAGTTCTTTATAAAGAACTCTGTATGCTCCTATCTGTTGATTTCATAAAAGGCACTAAATCAAAAGAAAGAGAATTCCAAACACTGGGATGTCTATGCAATCTCTCCACACGTTATTTATTACATGTTTCAGTTGGATTTTTGTTATTGATGGTCCTGTCAGTCCAAGCCTTCAGTACCACCTACACAAAGTATTCAGACAAACTAAAAAGCAGCTGGCTTTGCCTGGACAGTGTGCTTGCAGTGAAATGATATATAGTGAAGCACAACAAAGCCAGTGCCAACATCCTCAACTTCCTAGCCTGTTAGTTTATTTCCACAGTTTAATTGGCTTATACAGTCATCCCAGAAAGTGGATGCAAAAAAAAAATAAAACCAACAAAAACCCCCCAGCCACCAGAGGTAAAAAAACCCCAAACTGAAACTGGCGAAGCACAGGGACTGCAGCTGGGAGCAGTGGCTGATAAATTAAAGGTTTTCACTGCCATCCACATGGACCTTGACAGGGTGGAGCAACAGGCTGGCTGGAAGCTTGTGAAGCTCGACAAGGAGAAGTGCAAAGTCCTGCATGTGGGGAGGACAGCCCCACACACCAGGCACTGACGGCTGGAGAGGAAAGCTCAGCAAGTGGCACACCTGCACAGGATGCTGACAGAATCCTGGGGGGCACTAGGGGGGCTCTTGCCACCAGGTTGAGGGAAGTGACTCTGTCATTCCACTCAGGGCTGCTGAGGCCCCATCTCAAAAACTCTGCCCAATTCTGGGCTCTCCAATGAGAGAAATGAAACTACTGGAGAGAGCCCAGTGAAGAGCCAGTAAGAGGATTAAGGGCTTGAAGCAAACCTGCAGAGATGCTTTAAGAAATTTAAAGTAGGAGTTTTCATAAGATATCTGCTGCAAAAAATAAACTTACAGAGCACTAAGGCCTGAACAAGAAGTCTCGTGCTTCAATTGCTTCAAATGAACAGCATTCCTTGAAATTCAAATTGGTAGTAGCAGCCAAATATTCAAAAAGAACAAGTTTTCTGCAACTGACAAAAATATGCTAGTAGTTTGGAGGATAAAAAAAGCTGGTCTTTGAAGAATGAACCATTCAGAAAATGATTCATCTCAGCTTTTCAACATTACTCCAGTAAATTTGCCTTTGCTGAATGGCACCAAAGTGCCATTACACAAGGTTTTCAAATGCATATTGGTATTTTGAACACCACTGCCTTGCCCAGTGAAAGTCTGCCAGTCTTAAGGCAGCAGGTAGCAGCTGACAACTCCTAATAAAGAAATAAGCTTGAAATTCAATGAAACATGTTTATACACCTTTCTAGAGAAAACACTGACTGCTCCTATCAAACTAACAATGACTGTATTATCAATAATAAAATGGATGTGGCTTCAGTAGAATATAAGGAGGTTTTTCATGGGATTTGTTATAAATACAATAATTTCAGGCACTGAAGTATATACTGTACAACAGCATCCAGCACTGACTCAGTAACTCCAGGTCCCATCCACTCTTGGGTCAAACAGTGGTGGGGAGGCAGCCACACACACAAATGCCAAAATTCTGCCCTACTGCAAGAGGATCAATAAGGTATGGCAGCTAACCAGGGAATGCCAAAAGGATGCCAAAAATGCTTTTACTTGTGTGCATGTGGTGCTCCTTTGATGTATAGTTGAACAAAATTAAAGCTATAGAAAAAGTATTCAGTTTAAGGGAAATCTAAATAGGCAGCAAATTTGTCTAGAGTTCTATGCCTTTCCAAGGAAATTCAGGTCTTGTTCTATAGAATCTTCAGTAAACAGTATGAAATATGCAGTTGAAACATTTAAACATATGAACAAAAAGACTGCCTGACCTTTCATTTCTGTTTCTTGGATATTCTCTTAGGTAATGGCACCTCCCTGTATACTGCACTTATGAAAAAAGGTATCAAGATACCAAAGCCTTAAAAAGAGCAGTTTATTGAGTTTATACTTAGCTCATGCAACATTCCACAAGGTGCTGACTTCTGAACTTACTATAAAGATTAACCAGATGCAGTTATTCACTTGAGAATTTCTGCTTCTAAATTAGGCTTCTTGCCTACTAACCTTCAGTAATGTCTAATCATGCCTCAGTATACAGGATGACACAGATACTCGCTGCTTTCAAGTCTTACCAAGAACTCAGCTATCTTACAATGACTAATCATATTTTACAGACACAAAATCTTCACGAGAAATATGAGAGGAATGAAGCCAAATCATATCTGTGCAAAAATTAGCCACAGGATTAAGCTCACTCAAGGCTTCTCAGGTGAACCTAATGACTATGGCATACAAATAAAACAGAAACCAAAGAGTCACTCTCCTTTAAAAGCTGAATTAACATACCACTGATGAAAACAAAATTAACCTGACAGGTTCTCATGACACTTTAGTTGGGACAAGTTCTCATATTTGGTTATTGCTAATCATTGGCTCCAATCCTTCCCATCCTCACCTACACCTGACAGGTGTGGTCTCTTGGAATTGCAAATGTCTTTAGGGATTTCTCACAACTAAGAGATGAACAAATGCTGTGGTTCAAGCCAAGGTGGAGAACTGAATACATGTATCTGCCCAGCTACAGCAACACTGGGACCCACAGCAAGCCTCACCCACTGGAGAGAGTTTGAAATCAGAACAGCTAAGAAGTCTTCAGTAACTTGCTGTCCCACTATTAGTTTACATCCTGACCTCAGCAGTTTTCCAAGATCACCTGTGGGTGAATATATCCACTAACCTCTGCAGATATCTCTTTTGGAATCTTGGGCCAATTTTCTTATTCCCTTCCTCGGTGGTAAACTGGAGCAACAGGTCTATATGGATGGAAAGAGATAATGACAAAGAGGCCAATGAATGCAACACAAACATACCCAAACAGCTGTTTTCCCCAAAAGCAGCCTTGAGATCTATTTGTCACACACAAACCTTCCATCCCAGAAGCTCACTGCCCCTGGGATCCTGAATAAGTTAGGACACCACAGGAGGCAGACCCAGCCCAGTGCTGCTAGCTCCTCACAGACACCACAGCACAGCAATGGCAATCGCTCAGCTGCAGCTCTCAAACAGAAAGTCAAGAAAAGCACTCTGAGCTTTGATTCACACAGCTCAGAGGGGCTGGATCAGATTGGAACCATTTCAGAACAACTGATGCCAATGGAGAAAATAGTCACAGACAGTGGCTCTGAAACACTATTTTCCATTCCACTGAAAGGCACTGTTTACACTGAACATGTCCAGGATGGTGAGGAACTGTGGAGTGACAGAGAGTTCATGTGCTCCCCACTCATTTATTTCTGAGGGTTCCAGTAGTGACTGCCAGCTCCTGTGACAAGCAAGTTAATTTCAGGGGCCAGACTCCAATGTTAGGCTCAGTGTTCAGTTTAAGACATCCAACCAATTGTTTGTCTGCAGGCTTTAAACTCCCAGTGGACTCAACAGAGATGCCATCAAGATTTCTCAGAGAGGTGTTCAGAGAACAGACTGTTTTCACTGGCACTTCAAGGAGAAAAGCCATAGTGAGTAAGTTGTTCTTCTCACCTGATCTGGAAACAGGCAAAGCAGAGATTTGGAAACAATCTGTTAATTAATTACTAGGCTAACCCTAAGGTATATTAATCCCTACAATTTCTGGATCATATGATCTCTCTCCTCTTCCCAATAGCATGCTCCTGTAGAAGATGGAAATGTACACTTCAACGAATAAACAAACAACCCTCCCAAAACGCCCCAATGAACACAAACCACCAACATTCTCCAAAATCAAAACAGAAACTTTTGCAACTGTTGGATTATTTCTAGGGATTTTTTTTTCCTTACACAGGACTATTTTGTTCCTAGGCCCCTTAGATCATTCTAGCCTCTACTGCAATACACGTTATGTTGTCCACATCCCAGCAAGCTACATCCTCTGACCTTCTAGAAATCCAGAATAATCTGACTAAGAGAGAAGCATACTCTGCTAAAACACTGCATAGTTATCATACCATGCAGAAAACTCCCCCACTTTATAAAAACTAGGCTCTAGACTTGGGTATTTATTTTTAACTGCTATAAAAGGCATTCAGATTATACGAGATTATTGAACCCTTCTCTCTCTCTTTGAACTTAATGAGCTTCTGTGCTCTTGTAGTAAACAAGAATTATTATCTTCCCTATGACAACAAATGTTTCTGGAGTGGCAGGACTTATGAGACATAAAAGATGTCACATTTTAGGACTTAGGAGATGCTGGAAGATGGACAACAATGTGTGGTGATGAAAAACCAAGCTGAGTTAATTGCTCTCAATGGCCATTTACTGCACAAGGCTGAAAGATCTCAATAAGATCTTTCAGCTTGCACGAAGCTAAGACTGAAGAACCGGTTCCAAAGATTTGCAAAAATATTCAAACTGACATTCACATTAAAGTTAACCCAGACTTGAAGAAGGTGGATTCAGTCATTTGGATTGTGTTTTTCCAAACATGTGTGGAGTTGAGGACTATGACACAAGCATGCTGCAGGGCAAAGACAACGGGCTTGAAATGTTTAAAAAAAAAAAAAAAAGCATAGCTTTGGAGTTTTATTGACGGGCTGGGGTTTTGTTAGCGGATTTTCTTCGGGGGGTGGGGGTGCTATTTGTTTCTCTTTTTAGTACAAACATTTGTTTAAATCTTAGCCTTTCACCCCAGACTTTTGAGATAAGACTTGGGATTCACCACCCTGCCGCTCTGTCCTGGGGGCACAGGGCCGAGCTCGTTATCCTGGAGCACAGCACCCATCTCACTGCCCGGGGTGGGGGGAGGCACAGCACCCATCTCTCTGCCCGGGGGGGGCACAGGACTTTGCTCGCTGTCTCGGGGGGCACAGGACCCCCCTCTCTGCCCGCGGCCGCTCCAGCCTCCCCGCGCTCCCCAGCGCGCACCGCGGGCAGCCGGGGCCGTCCCCGAGCTGCGGGCGCGCCCCCGCCCCCGGCGCGCTCCCGGCGCGCTGCCGCTGCCCGGGCGCGCTCACGTGACGCCGCCAGAAGTGGGTGAAAGGTCGCGCCGCCGCGGCCCCGCCCCGCCCGCGCGCCCCCGGCCGCTCCAGGCCTTTCCACGCGCGCCGGGAAGGCGCTGCCAAACAAAAGTTCCCAGAGAAAAGGACCGCAAGCAGTGAAAGAAGCCAAGCGCATCTCTCGGCGAGCCGGGGAAAAGGGGTGCGCTCGATTTCCAGCCTCAGTTGTTCAGGGTTAGGCTTTTCTTGAACAAGGAATAGCGATTTCTTCCTGGAAGAAGCTCTTCAGTCGGGGCTGAAACACCCCAAAATGTTAAAAAGCACCCCGATCAACTTAACTTTCAAACTAAGTCACGGCCGTGACAGAGCCCGATACCTGTGTAAACATGGGAAGTTACATTTCCAAGGATAACAAAGCTCCACACACCAGCACCTGTGCTGTTGTAAACTGGCAATCATTAGTTTATATTGATATGCTTACAAGAGGAAAAGAACCTGCTAGTTACCAGGGAAGCCCACAACACTCGTTTTAAGTAGCATTCAGTCCTGATGGCCAGAAAAAGCGTAAAGGAGTCAGCAGGTCTGGAAACCGAACGCGTCAGACACTCCGGAAAACATAATGAAAGAAGAACGAAGGCATTAGATCTCCATTTTCAGTGCTAATCTCCTACACACACGTGAAAAGGAAACGAGAGTTTTCTGTACTGCAATTTCCTTCAGACTGCAGATTGTCCTCTAAGTGCTGACGAACTGCCAGGTTCAAAGAATGAGACGTTTGTCTTGGTCCTACTTTGTACTTTTCTCTTTCCAAAAAAGGTGCTTCCTGTTACAGTTTCATCAACACTAGTACACATCTATTATAACTGGATCACAGCCCAAGTAATATTTTAGGTTCAGTTTTCTATTTTAAACCAGAGAACATAGCGCAAAGACCAAAGCTGCGGGAATACGAGGCGAGAAAATGTAATTCCGTGATGCTGCAAGAATCTTGATCTATCTTTTTACAAGAAGTCTAATTAGCATTCTCATGCAGTAAACCTGTCACGCCTTGAACAAGATACTACATTTCCTGTATTTGTTGTTCCAGCAGTTTGTAGTGACTGCGGTTTTTATAGGTTTTACAGGCTGGAATCACACGGACACATAGACTAGTTTCTCTCTCTCTCTCTCACACACACACATCGACAATAAATTCGTTTCCGCACTTGAAAACCCACCACCGATGCCACGCCGCGTGGACCCTTCCACAGACGCGGAACTCCTCCCGCTTGCGAGTCAAACCCACGAAGCCGGGTTTGACCGGTGTCACCTTTGTTTCGGCGGCGGCACAGATCCAGCCAATCTCCCGGTGTACGTGTGTCACACCGCTCCCCTGCCCCCATCTGCAGCACTAAGGCACTACTCCTCAAGCCGGGGCGAATGGCGAGCACGATGCCAAGGACACCGCGCCTTTCCAGGACTCTCCAGCACCGCGCCCACCACCCTTTCCTCCAGCACGGACGAGCCGCGCTTAGGAAGCGGCGCCCGGCACGCTCGCACACGCACCACGGAACTTCGTGCTCCACCTAATGGAAACAATACTTAGGCTAAAACCGCACCAAGCGAGCCCGTCCGCCTGTCGCCGATGCTGCCCTTCCTTCCCCAGCCCCAAGGAAGGCGGACGGTGGCGCGCTGCGGGAGCGTCCCGGCTGAAGGGGGAGGGGAGCGGCAGCCGGCGGTGAATCAGCCGGACACACGGCGGGCACACGGCCGGCACCCCCGCCGACCCCTGCCCCAGCCCGCAGCCCGTGCCGCTCACCTGCAGAGACCGGCGGGGACGGGCGCTGAGCGGGCCGGGCGCCGCGGCGGCCGCTCGGCAAGGCAAGCAGCGATGGGACGGCGGCCGCTCCCCTGCACGCCCCGCGGAGGCGGAGCGCAGCTGGGCGGGGAGGCCTGGGCTGGGCCGGGCCGGCGGGGGAGCCTGGCTGCAGGAAGCCGGGACCCACGGGGAAGCGGGGCCGGGGTTGCGACAGGAGCCGGGAAACGCCGTCGCTGTGTGTTTCCCGTCCCACCGGCCTGGCGAGCGTCCGCGGAAAAGAAGCTTCGGGGGCTGCGAGGAGAGGAGCCGGGGCTGGGAACGGGGCGGGGAGATGCGTGCTCTCCGTGGAGGAGGAGTGCGCCTAGGGCACCTGTTGGCTGGTGGAGGCACCGCCGAGGAAAGCTGAGATTTCCCCCCAGCCCCCTCTGTGAGCCCAAGGCAATGGCTCTCCTGGGCTCTGGCAAGAATGGGGTCACATCTCGGAGCAAGTGCAGATGGGGGTGTGAAGGAGCTTCCAAGGGAAGGCGCAGGACAGCGGCAGCTCTCCCTCCTGGTTCCTTTTGCTCATGAGCCCTGGCTGGAGGGTCTTTCATCTGAGTTTTGTCTTTTGAGCCTGGGTTCTGCCTGGCGCAGGGCATTAGGTGAGCGATATCCTTACAAGGGCAGAGCCCCGGAGAGCGCCAGCAAGAGCTTTCAGTCCCCTATGGGACTCCCCTTCTGTATGGGAGCCCCAGCACGCAGCCAACGTAGCCCCCCCTGGGGAGGACCAGCCAGTCCACTCTGCTCCAGCAAATACTGGGATCTGAGGGAAATAAGTACACTCAATACATCTCAGTAAAAGCGACTGGATTCTTTTAAAAACGCAAAATCATGGAAGTAATTAAAATGCAAAGGTGCCAGTCTCGGGGCAGAATGGCAGCCAGTTTGTAAATGACTAGTTTGTGAATTTATAATGAACTTGCCACTTTCAAGAGCTTGGATATCAGATGCTTTGTTTGATTTTAGCATGATAGCAGCTGGAAGACTACTCTGTCCCAGAAGGAGGTAGGTCATGGCCTGTCTGACTACAGTGGTGTCAGTACAGAGTCTTCTTTGAACTGCTAAGAGCTGGGATTCCTACATTTTTCCCTTGTGGGCACACCCACCCGGCCATGCAATCCTTCCTGCTGCAATTTCCAGGATGTGGCTGAAAGCTTCCAAATCCACAAATGGGACCAAATCCAGAAGCATGGACACGACAGACTAAAT